GGTGGGAGAACGCCTTGGCCTCAGTTTCCCTGGAGGAGAAGGGCTGAGGGTTGGCGCTGTGGTTTGCCTGTTAATCCCGAGCTCAGCAGATGCGGGGCTGTTTCTGGCCTCCCTTCCACCCACCCACCCACCCACTCACTGTATCCTCCAGCCAGATAGAGCCCCTCCCCCTCCGACTCGGCCCCTCCCAGGTGCCCGGGGAGGGGGCCGTCTTCACCAGGTGGGTCCTCCCCATCCCAGGGAGCAGTGCGGTGGGCTGGGCTGAGGGCCCCTGAGTCACGGTGGGAGCAAGGCCATCTGTCGTTGTCATCTCCGTCGGCAGCCATGTCCAGTAAGTACCCCATGGCGTCTCCGCTGCCGCCTGGTGGCCCAGACCCCGTCTCTACGGGCTGCGGGGACCATCGCCGGGGTTCCTCATGGGGCGTTGGCAGAGTTGTGTGGTTGTGGCTTGGAGGGATCTGCCCTGGGAGGACACCTGGCCCCGCTGCTGGACCGGGGATGGGGGTGGGGGCACGGGCGGTGCGGCGGCCCTCTTGTCCTCTTCCGAGAACCCCAGACCTTGTCACCCGGGACCCCTACGGAGGGTCCCCACCCCACCTGGTATCTTGGAGCCGATCGAAGCCCCCATGACCGCTGCCGGGAGGGGTACAGATGGGTGCTGCCCCCACGCCTGCTGGGGAGGGGTAGTGTCTGCTCTCTGGATGCGTGCTAGGATGCCCCCAAGGAGATCTAGGCCTGCTGGGTGCCCCTCGAGCACGGCCTGCGCCCGGGGCAGCGCAGGCGCTGTCTGCCGCATCGTAGCCACAGCCGCAACCGCAGCGCAGCGCAGCGCAGCCGGAAGCGCGGGCGCTGCCCGCCTCCTTCCTACATACAATTTCTAGAGTAGGCCTGGCGTCCGGAGAAAAACACGCCCACCGCCCCCTCCCTCCGCGCCTGGTTCCTTCTGCACATGCGCAGACGGACTGCCCACCTTTCTCCGGCAGGGCGCGCACCGATAGGAGCTCGCAGCCGGGGTCAGGTGTTCAGCATGGACCACAGGAGCTGAAATCGGGGTGTTCGCTGGTTTGCCCCCAGAGGAGAGGGAGAAGGAAGCGGCACCACCCCAGGATGGCGGGTGGGCGGGCAGATGCGTCACCTGTGGTCGCTGTGGCAAATGGCCATAACTCAGCACCTTAAAACGACACGAATTTATGACCCACAGCTGTTGGGCTCGATAGCCCTGAGTAGGTCGTACGAGCCCGAAATCCCGCCTCCTCGAGCGTCCCAAGGCCCCTTCCTGTGTCTTGCGGTCTCTCTTTCTGCCTGGTCCTCACGGCTCTGTCCTAAGAACACCATGGCTCGCTGGGGCCCTCGGGCGGGGGCGGAGGTTATAATGCGCTCAAGCGCCAGCCAGAATGATTTTAAAGCCAGCCAAAATGGTGGGGGTTTAAGTCCCTTGGGGTCTCTGTGCAGAAAGGCCCGGCAGGCGCTCTGCTTCCGAGAAACCAGCCTTTGGCAACCCCGCAGCGCATAGCTCGCCTGTGGCTAGCACAAGGGGTCACCATGCGAAAGGGTTGACATAGTTACGTGGACCCCTAAGTGATCACGGGTCACCTTAACCTAATTCAGCTCGAGGGCAGCCAGAGAATGCCATCTCCACCAGGGCGGGCGGAGGGCGCACTGAGCTGTCGCCAAGGGTCTCTGCAGCCCCCTCTGGTGCTTTGGGACCGCGGCGCGGGCGCGGGGTTAGTGCCGCGGAGTTGTGAGCTTAGAAGCCGTGAGAGGGCAGGGCGTTAGGCTCCAGTATGGACGGTGTTTGCCATAGCTCGCGTCGCCCTGCCCGGATGCGTCAGGTTTTCCGTCGTTCCTCCCCAGAATCAGTCCGCCGCTTCCTAGTCTGCCTGATGGCTGCAGCCCCTCCTCCGTGGGTGACGCTGATGCTGGGATCTGAGAAAGGACTCGCAGAGTTGCCAGCAGCACGAGCACTCGCTTGCAGCCTTTTGCTCCAGAAGGTTCCACGGCACAGGTTCTGGAGGTTTGAATGTGGCCATCTCTCAGCATGGGAGGTGGCGGTGGTTAAGAAGCTCTCAGCTGCTGGCCACAGGGTGGACAGTTCCAACCCAGCCGCCTCCTGTGGGGCAGCTCTACTCGGCCCTGTAGAGTTGCTCAGAGCTGGGACACTGTGCATTTCCAATTGGGCTGCGGTTTCCCCGAGCAGATAGTTTTGTGTTGGTACAGGTTTCACACCCATCCGTTTTGTTTCAACTCACACGGTGCCATCCCCTCAGCGGATCGTCGATCACACTCAGCTCCCAGTTTCAGTTGCTATCCCTCCGCTTTTCCTGCCCCTGCCCCTGGTAAATATGACACTTTTGTTCTCAAACGGTTGGCTGTTGTTACATAGCGCTAGTCAGTGTGTTGTACTGTGGTGGCCTGTGTGATGCTGGACGCCATGTCACTGGTATTTCAGATGCACCCCACGGGAGCAGGTTTCAGCCAACCTTCCAGACTAAGAATAAAGTGGGGAGAAAGAGCCCCTGAAAACCTTATACATAGTATCCAACCCTTGTCAGCTGTTGAAGGCCTAATGAATGGAAGCAGAACTTTGTCAGAGGTGGTGCAAACATCTATGAATAATCAAAAGGTGCAATGTACAGAGTATGACTAGGAAAATTGGAATCATCAAAATGAAATGGGATGCATAAAGACCAGTATTCTAGGTGTTCAGGAGCTGAAATGGACTGGCAGTGGCCATTTGAATCGGGGCATCTTGGTTTCCGAGCTGGGGATGACACAGTCCAGAGGGGCAGCGTTGCATTTCACCCTCATAGAGGGCGTGCTCAGGCCTACTTTGAAGTACAATGCTGACTGTGATAAGATGAGACCTATGTGAATTCAAGGGAATTTGATCAGTACAGCGTTTTCAAATTTATACACCGACCACTAAAGCTCATGTGGAAGAAATTGGAGAATTCTACCAATGTCTTCAGTCTGAACTTGATCAAATATATCATCAAAGTGCACTGATAATTATTGACCATTGGAAACAAAGAGGAAGGAACAATCGTTGGAAAATGTGGTCTTGCTGATAGGAAGCTGGAGATCACACGATAGAATTTTGTGAGACCAGCAACTTGTTGATAGCAAATACCTCTTTTCAACAACACAGTAACTCTACACATGGCCTTCCCCAGGTGGAATGCACAGAAATCAAACCAACTCGATCGTGGGAAGCGACCATGGAGAAGCCCCCTATCTGCAGCTAAGATGCGGCCAGGGGCCGCCGGCTGTGACACAAACATACAGGTTCAGGCTGAGGCTGAAGAAAATTGAAACGTGTCCACAGAAGCCCAAGTAGAACCGTGACTGTCTCCCAGCAGAATGTCGTGGGAAGACACCAAGAGCGTCCTGACGACAGCGGCAGTCGTTCAAAAGACAGGAAGAAGGCAAGCAAAGGACCCGGGTCTGGCATCAGCTGGATGTCAGGCTGAAACTCGCCCTGAGTCGTAGCGCAGCTGACGCAAACGCAGGTAAAGGAGACCTCACAAAGAGCTGAACAGAAAATGTCAGCGGACAGGTCGAGAAGATAAGGTAAGATATTAGATTAAAATATGCAAAGTCCTAGAGTTAGAAAACCAAAAGACAAGAATAAGCTCAGTAATCTTAAATTGAAAGAACGAAAGAAAAAAATTCTAGCCTCCAGTTGCCATGTTGAAAGATTCTACGGGCAAAATGTTGAGTGATGCAGGAAGTACCAAGAGAAGATGGAAGGAATACAAAGTCGCTGTGCCAAACAGAACTCGTGGACAGTCACCATTTTGGGAGATAGCATATGAGCAAGAAAGAACCAGTGGTGGTGAAGAAAAAAATCCAAGCTACACTGAAAGCATTAGCCAAAAACAAGGCTCCCGGGAATTGGTGGAATACCAATTAAAATGTTTCAGCAAGTTGCTGAAGCACTGGAAGCACTCAATGTTTTATGATAGAAAATTTGGAAGATAGCTATTCGACTGAGTTGAAGAGATTTATATTTGTGCCAAAGAAAGGTGACCCAACAGTGTGTGCAAATTATAGAATATCATTAATATCCACTCGAAGTAAAATTTTGCCGAAGATCATCCAGCGAAGATTACAGCAGTGTATTGACAGGGAGCTGCCAGGGATTTGGGCTGGATTTAGAAGAGGACATAGAACATAGAGGGATAGCGTTGCTGATGTCTGATGGCTCTTGGCTCAGAGCAGAGAATACCAGAAAACTGTTTACTTGTGTCTCACTGACTGCCAAGGCATTCAACTGTGTGGACCACAACAGGCGATGCATAGCCTTGAGAAGCATGGGATTTCCAGAACACTTCATTGGGCCCATGCGGAGCCTGTGCCAGGGGCAAGAGACAGTTGTCTGACTAGAACAAGGGAATGCCATAGGATTTAAGATCAGGAAAGGAGCACGTCAGTCTTACCCTCCCACCGTGCTTACCAGTCTGTATGCTGAGCAAGTCATCAGGGAAGCTGGACTAGATGAAGACACGTCAGGCTTGGAGGAAGGCTTACGCATTACCTGTGGTAAGCAATGGCACAGCCTTGCTTGCTCATAGTCAAGAGGCCTTGAAGCACTTGCTGATGAAGACCAAGCATTGTAGCCTTCAGTACGGATTACAGCTCAATGTAAAGAAAAGCTACATCCTCCCAGTAGGACCAGTAGGTAACAAAATGATAGATGGAGAGAAGATTGAAGTTGTCAAGGGTCTCTTCTTGCTGGATCCACAATCAGTGCTCCTGGAAGCAGCAGTTGAGAGATCAAGACACATTGCATTGGGTCGGGGTCCTCAAACTGTTTACACAGTTCACGGTCTCTCAGACCTGTTGGAGAGCCGGACTATAGTTTTTTTAAAAACTATGAACAAATTCCTATGCCCACTGCACATATTTTAGTTAGAAGTAAAAACACCCGGCGGGCCGGATAAATGTCCTCAGCAGGGCGCATGTGGCCCGTGGGCCGTAGTTTGAGGACGCCTGCACTGGGTCAGTAAGCTGCGTGAGGCCTGTCTTTGTGAACTGGCCAGCATTTCCAGCTGCAGTCTGCTGCCCAAGACCTCTTGAGCGTGTTGGAAAAGGGAAAGGGTGTGACTTTGAGGACTAGAGTCTGCCTGACCCGAGCCATGGTATTTTCAGTGGCCTCCTATGCATGTGAAAGTTGGAGACTGAAACCGCATCTGTGCGTTTGAATTGTGCTGGAGAGGAATATTGACAGGTCCCTGGACTGCTAAAGAACGAGCACCTCTGCCTCGGGAGACACACAGCCAACATGCTTCCTAGAAGCAAGAATGCTGAGACTTATTCTCAATCTCTTCCCTTGTTGTCAGGAGAGCACATCATGATTTGACACAGTGGCTGCAGCAGTGGGCTCAGGCCTGGGAACAATTGCGAGGCTGTTGCCGGACGGGCAGTGTTTTGTTCTGCTGTACTTGGGTCGGAGCTGACTCGGCCCCTAACAGCAACCACCACAGCATTCTAACACAGGTGCATTCCGTTCAGACCTGCGTGGGGCTCTCTGACGACCAGGAAGCCTGGTCTCCAGGGATTGTCAGTTGAGTTCCACATGATTCCCCCAGTCTGTTCAGGTTCTTCTCAGGGGGTCCTTCTCAGAGCACTTGGTTGTGCCCACCGGGCACATCTAGCTTTCTTGTCTCAGGGTTTTAGAGACTGAGGTGTGTGTGAGCCATAGCCCGTTGGACTGTTCGTTTCTATCTGTCTCGTGGGTCTCTGCACTCTTTCCTCTGGTTGGAGAGACACCTCAGCCGACTGCTCATGAGCTTTTTAAGAGCCCAGTGGCTATGCCTCGGTTAGGAGAGAGGCCATTGTCTCCGTGAACTCTCTACCCTTTCACAGCAGTGTTCCCTGAGGCCAGGGGCCTGCTCCCCTAGGTCCAGTGCTCCCCCACCCGCTTCTTCCCTACCACATTCATGGATCTGAATGTATATTAACAGGTGGTGTAGCCCAGCCCAGTACCCAGCAGCAGTCAACACTGTCGTGGGGGCAGCCTCCTGTGTAGTGCCGTTTGCCTCTGTTTGCTTGTTGCTCAGTAGGCCCCTGCCCCTGACACTTCCTGCCGACAGCTGTGTGTTGCCTTCCCAGGCACCCAGGTGACTAGGGTGTAGTGTGTTCCGGAGCAGAGCACCAGGCCACTTTGGAAACTGCTGGCTTTCTCCTGGGCAGCCGAGCTTTCAACCCATGTGCCACCTGGACGCCGGTGATGGTGACCCCAGACATGTCCTGGCCGGAGATTGTAAGGGCTGCAGCAGCCGTGACTCTGTCCAACACCTGCCTCCAGCCCCAAAGATGCTGAGCAGAGTGGTCTTGGGCAAACTTCCTGTTTCTTTTCAGAGGTGTGGGGGTCCTCAATGTGGAGTGGCGGGGGGCAGGGCAGGGCCTGTGGGAGGTCCAGGGCGTCCTTATCCCTGCTTTATCAGCCATCGTGGCAAACACCTTAGGGCAGCGGTTCTCAACCTGGGGGTCGAGACCCCTTTGGGGTCAAACGACCCTTTCACAGGGGTCACCTAAGACCATCTGAAAACATATTTCCAATGATCTTAGGAACCGAGACTCCGCTCCTCTGTCCATCTCCAGGCGGGTCCACCCACATGCAGAAACGTCCACGTACAGGTACCCAGCGTGAAAACTGTCACCCATGCGACACCCTGCTTCAAGACAAAATTTCGTGTATTTGTCATTAAAAATAAATATTTCACAATATAGAATGACATATTTTTGTGACTCATCACTATGCTTTAATTATGTTCATTTTGTAACAGTGAAAATACATCCTGCATATCAGATACTTACATTACGATTCATAACAGTAGCAAAATGACAGTTATGAAGTGGCAACAAAAGTAATGTGATGGTTGGGGGTGACCACCCCATGAAGAACTGTAGGAAAGGGCCGTGGCCTGAGGAAGGGGGAGAACCACTGCCCAGCGTCCTTATCCTTTTTTATCAGCCATCGCGGCACTGCCTTTCTGCAGACAGGAAGGAGCCTGGTGCTGAAGTGCGGGGCTGGCTTCCCTCTGTCCCGAGGGGGTAGGAGGGGTCACTGGATATGTCCAGCTGTGGCCTGGTGTGAGAGGAGCCCTTCTCCGTCCTCTGTGTGGGTCTGCCAGTTAGCAGGGGTGTGTTCATGGCGAAGTGACCACTGGCACTCCTGTAGAGCTGTGTGAGCCACACCAGGGCCCTGGAAGGGGGTGTGCATGCGCGTGCGCGGTGTGGACTCTACTCCTGGGTCCACTTAGCGCCCAGCAGCAGGACCAATGGAACCTTCTAGGTCTTATTTGCAGTCACTCCTGGCATCTTATTGTTGGGCAGTTCGAAACCACCATCAGGTCCTCGGGAGAGAGTGGGCTTTCTATTCCCGTAAACACAGCCTTAGAAACCCACTGGTGTGTGTCTTGCGGGGTGGGGGTTGCTGTGAGTCAGCATTGATTTGATGGCAGCAAGAGCTTAAAAACAAAGTGAAGGCATACTTCTGACAGATGTATGCCCTCTTTCGGCTCCCCCCACGCCTGGGGCGCTGGCTCCCAGGGTGCGAACACAGGCCCCATCCTCCCAGCCGAGCTGCGTGAGCCCATCATTGCAGCCTCCCTGCCAGTGCAGCCTGTGGGAGGGCTTCCTCTCTCGCCCACATTCTGCCCCACCAAGCTTGGTGCCCACAGCCTGTGTGAGTGCGTCTCCCCACCCTGGCGGCATCTCCCATGCTGCCCCCAGCACACGTGGACTCCCTCCCTGGTGTATCCAGTATGCTTGGCAGGCTTCTTGCTTTTTATATTTTTATTAGACTTTTTTAGAGAGGTTTTAGGTGTCAAGCAGTCATGCAGGAAGCAAGGGGAGGGGGCGTTCTGTGATACTAACATTCATCATGAGGCATGAACATGCTACCTTTGTTACAACGGGCTCACGCTGCCTTGTCCTTGCATGGGTACTAAGATCTGCAGTTTCCATCATGGTCTCTGTTGTCTGGTCCCCAGGCTTTTCACAGATGCATATTGCCACATGTCTGCCATTACAGTGTCTGATGGAATGCCAGATGTGGGGGTGAGTGCTCGCAAGCAGAAGGTAACCCACAGCTCGAGGGTGCCTACGGCTGCTGTGCCTTTAACCCCCCGGTGCACAGGCTGCTGGAAGCCAGGTCCGTGGCTCTGGTGCTTCATCTCCAGAGGCTCAGCTCCCCACTGTGAGCTGGGTGGTGGACAGCCCCCCCAAACTTGTGCCTGCTGCCACAGAAGGGACTCCAGAGTCTCCCTCTGTTGTCTGCCCAGGCCACTGACTGCCCCTCCTCCCCTTTCCAGGGCTGGGCTACGATCCCTACAACCCCGAGCTGCCCCAGCCTCCGCCTCCGCCACCGGCAGCGCAGCGAGAGAATGGCGCGCTGGGCGGCGGGGATGAGCGCTCCGACATGCTGGAGCTGGAGCTGGTCAACCAGGCCATCGAGGCCGTGCGCACCGAGGTGGAGCTGGAGCAGCGGCGCTACCAGCAGCTCCTGGGCTCCGCCAGAGCGGGCACCGCCGCGGAGGCCTCCGCCCTGGCACCCCGCCGACCCGCCACGCCTGCCGCCGAGCTGGGTGATGAGGATGCCTTCCCGCTCTCCTTCGACTACCACCCGGGTGGACGCAGCCCACTGAGCCCTGACGCTGGCTACCAGCCCACTCCGCTGGCCACCCCTGCCGAGCCCGGCGGCAAGTATGCCCTCGGGAGGAGCCCCCCGGGCCGTGGCGGAGCCCTGGAGTATGTGCCCAAGGCTGTGGGCCAGCCCCGCAGGCATGGCCGCCCGGGCCCCAGCAGCAAGTACGTGGTGGACAACTCCAGGCCAACCACAGACCTGGAGTATGACCCGCTGTCCAACTACTCGGCCCGCCTGCTGAGCCGAGGTGGCTCCAGGGAGGAGCGCCCCTCCAAGCGGGCACGGGGCCCCCCTGGCCGAGAGCCCTACGCGCCGCCGGCACCCAAGAAGTACCGCGATCCCTTCGGTGGCTGCGATGCACGCTTCTCAGACTCGGAAGATGACGCTGCGGCGGCTTCGGGGCCAGGACCCACCCCTGCCAGCCCCCCTCGGGCTAAGGTGGGCCCCAAGAACCAAGCTCCTGGGAAGCCACCTTGCAGGCCAGGCCTGGAGCCTGAGGGGGGCCTTCGGTTGACCAAGGAGATGGCGGTGCAGTGCGATGTGGGCGACCTCGGGCAGCCCCCCCAGGGCCAGAGCAGAAGGCCCCTGGTCACACCCAGTACTCCGTCCCCCGCCGCACAAGAGCGGGGGGCCACCAAGGAGGCAAAGTCCAAGAAGAAGAGACGCCCAGAGTCACGGCCCACCAGCCACAAGGACAGTGTCCAGAAGAAGGATAAGAACAGGGACAAGGATAGGGACAGGGACAGAGGGAAGTCGGTTGAGAAGAGAGGCCCCCGGGGCCAGGCGGAGCGGCCAGACGGGACCAAGAAGAAGCCGTCCTCCGCCACGGCAACAGCCCCCACTTCAGCCAGCTCAGGGAAAGGGAGGCCTGAGCGGCCCCCGGAGCCCCGGCCAGCCCGCACCAAGCGGGGGAGACCTGCCCCCTCGGGGAAGCTGGCAGCGCGCAAGGCCCACTCGCTGGACGAGGGCGGCGCCCGGGACACCCCCAAGCTGAAGCGGCGTGCCCTGAGCCACGCCGATCTCTTTGGGGATGAGAGTGCGGATGAGGACCCGGGGACCCCACGAGCCTGGCCCCCTGCCCTGCCCAGCCTCAGCTCCAGCTCCAGCTCCGACTCGGACTGCAGTCTAGGCCCCACGGGGGCGCCCGAGCAGGGCCCACCCAAGCGGCTCAAGGCCTCCCCACCCCGTCCAGCTGCCCTCTCCCCATCCTCCTCCTCCTCCTCTTCCTCCTCCTCCTCGGGGGAGGACGTGGACTACGCCGCCCTGGAGAAGGAGGTGGGCTTTGACTCGGACCCTATGGAGGAGTGTCTGCGCATCTTCAACGAGTCCACCAGCGTGAAGACCGAGGACAAGGGCCGGCTGGCCCGGCAGGTGAGGGCCCTCTGGCGGCAGGCTGGTTGACCACACTGCTGTTCCAGGTCGTCCCCGCCCCTTCCGCCCCTGTCCCTCCCAGTGGGCCCTATCTCACTCCTCTTCTGGCTCCCACCATGGCCGCGGGGGTGCTGCCTTCAAATGAGGCAGGCTCAGCCTGGGGTCCCTTTGCTCCCCTGGGTTTCGGGGTGTGGAGGGATCCATCTTCCTCTTGCTGGGGGATCCTGTGCTGCAAGGCCGAGTGTGCACTCAGGCTGCCCACTGTGTGTCCCAGCCGCCTCCGGAGGAGAAGGCCGAGGAGCGCGGCCCAGCCAGCCTGACCACGCTGTTCCCTGGGCAGAGGAGGAGGATCTCGCATCTCGCCAAGCAGGGCAGCGAGGTGAGGCAGACGCAGGCCGCCTGGCGCCCTCGGTCCCACTGCACGCAGACCCTGGGCGTGGAGCCTCAGTGTTTCGACTACTCTCCTGCAGGCAGAGCCCCCCAGGAGAGTCCCGGTGGCCCCAGTCCGGCCCCCGACTGCCCAGGAGGCGTGCTACCGGCGTGCCCAGCAGGCCCAGCGGGAGTCAGCCAGCTGGCTGCAGTCGGCCCCCAGGCCTGTCGAGAAGCCCTCCTCCGTGCACCTCTCAGCACCCGGCGAGAAGAGGCGGATTGCACACGTGCCCAACCCCCGGCTGGCTGCAGGTGCGTGGGCCAGAGGGCCCTGGAGCGGACTCTTGGGGGGCTCCCTGTGTGTGGTTGTCCAGATGGGGTGGGGCCTACCCCTGTCCACACTCTCCCAGATGAGGCTGTGCAGGTGGCTGTGTCCTTGTCCCTATCCCTCTGCTTGACTGCCCCACGGTCACTGTCTCCCGTCTGCTGTGTCTGTCTCCCCCACCCTGAAGGCCATCCTTCCCCCCTCTAGCTCAGGCTTCTGCCGGGGCAGGTGGGGGTCCACACAGCCCAGAGCATCCCAGCTGGGCTCAGGGCCTCCAGATGGTTTAGAGGTGTGCCTGGCAGGCCCTCCCACGTGTGAAGTCCCACCTGGTAAGGGGTCCATGCCAGTGATGCTGGTGGCCTTAGGAGCTTGGTCTGTGGTGGGATCCAGCTGCCTGAGTGTGGGGGAAGGTGGTGAGGTCCAGGGGGAGGGATGGGGGGGTGGGCTGTGCATGTAGAGTTGGTTGGAGGTTCTTGGAGAGAGCTCTGGTCTTCCCCTTGGGAGCCCTGGGGACAATTCTCAGGCAAAGCCACCCCACTCTGTCTTTGGAGGCTTGTGTGTTGCTAGGTACGGAGACTGGAAAGAAAGGCCTGTCAGTCAGCTGTTAAAAATCGGCCAGTGAAAACCCCATGGGTCTCAAGGGGCAGATCTGTAACTCGCCAGGTGGCGGTGGGAGTGGACAGTGTTTGCCCCGCTGTGCACGGGATTGCCTGCAGTTGGGACTGTCCTGATGGCAGCTTGCAGTGATGGGGGGGTGGGGTGGGGGGCGGTCACGCAGTGGCCTCCTTTGCTCCAGCCTGTGGCGTGTCCCTACAGCAGCCCTTGGCCTGTCTGAGGGCTGTGCCTCCCCCGAGGGGCTGGGCACTGCACAGGTTGCTTAGGTACTGTGTTCCTGCAACTGCACACTGAGGTGTACCTCCCTCAGGAGACCAGGAGTCCGCTGTGGCTCTGACCTCTGCCTTAGAGACCTCTCTTGGGTGGCTACCTGCCCACCCCTGCCCCCAGCCCCAGGGAAAGCTGCCTGCAGCGTGGCAGTGCTGGCCCTCTCTGTGGTCACAGTTTCCTGGGGCAGAGGTTCTGCAAGGACTCCAGCCAAGACCCTTCCCCGTGGTAGAGCCTCAGTCAGATATAGGGTTGGGGCTACCAGGCGACCCTTGGTGACATGTGCTCCCGCACCCTTCTGAGCCCCAACCACGTGGTCCAGGCTGTGGATCCTTCCCGGCCTCGATGCATCGGACCCCCCAAAGTCCAGGGGCTCACTGGTGACCTCAGGGCCATGTGTGCATGCCCTGAGACTGAGATCCCTGTTGGACCATGTGGACGGGGTGGCCTCTGGCGAGGACAGGGCAACATGTCGGGCAGGCAGTGTGGGACAAGCCCCTCACAGGGCAGCCCGTGCCCTGTCTGAGTCCCGTGGCTGCTCCCCAGGGCCAGGCGGGTTGGGGAGAGGTTGGCGCCTGGTCAGGGATGGAGGTCCAGCTCTCCAAGCAGCACCTCTTCCCTGGACCTGGGCTCTGAGCCAGCTGCCCCAGCTTCAAACACACAGGTACACATGGTTGCACATAGCCACTTCACCACACACACACACACACACACACACACACACACACACTCCCACATACACATTCCTACCCCTCATACACATGCCTGCCTCTCACCCACACGTGCACACGGACACACATAGTTACACACCCCCATACCCACGCACATACATGCCTGTTTTGCACACACACACCCCTGCACATACAGGCATACCTCTCTCCCACAGCCATACGCACTCCCCTGCACACATATCCCACACACATAACTACCACTCTCTCTGTACCCCCGCTCACATAGCGCCCCCCCCCATTGGGCAGAGTCTGCAGCTTTGTGACCTCAGTGGTGGGCGGGGCAGAACACTCGGCCAGCCTGTCACAATGACTGGTCTCCATACCCTCGAGTGCTCTGCCCAAGAGCCAGATGTCGGTGCCTCAGAGTCAGGGCCCTGACCATGCAGCAGCAGCTGGCCTCGGCTCACACTGCCCCCCACAGCGCCCTGCCAGTGGCCCTAGCGCCTGACCCAGCACCCCCTGCTGCTGACGCCCCCCTGCCCCCTTCGATGGCCTTACCCACATGCAGATAGAGCCCGATGTCCCTCCCTAGCCCGAGCTGCAAGCCACGGCACCCAGGCCTGGGCGGCGAGATGCGCTTGCTGCTGGCCCTGAGCGACCACCGCTGCCTGGTGCTCCGCAGCTCGGTCATGGGCCTGCTCGCAGCTTGCCCTCGTGCCCCCTGCCCCTCTGCAGCCCCCACAGGTGCCAAACGGAGCCTGGTGGCCAGCAGCAGCCAGCCCACTCACGGCCCCGAGCCCAGCGGGCAGTCCCTGAAGACACGCACCCTGGCAGGCATGGCCTCCAAGACCACCTCCACGATCACCCCCAAGAGAGTGGCCCACAGCCCATCGCTGCAGGTGATGTGGTGGGGCCGGTGGGTGGCTGGGCCGAGAGACCATCCTTTCTGCTGCTCACTGCCGCCTGCCCGCTCTGCTTCCCTCAGAGTTTAAAGAAGCCCATTATCCCCAAAGAGTTCGGGGCCAAAGTCCCCACGGCCATCCGGCAGCGCTATCTCAACCTGTTCATTGAGGAGTGCCTCAAGTTCTGTCCTTCCAACCAGGAAGCCATCGAGAAGGTGGGCCGCAGCGCAGGCTGTCCCCCTGCTCCCCCCCCCACCCCCCCAGAGAGCTCCCGAGTGGACATGGTCTACTTGCCAGCTAAGAGGTTGAGAGGCACCGAGTCCTCCCTCAGCCTCAGAAGGCCTGCCTGGGGCAGCTCCCTGTGGACAGGCCTGCGTCGCACAGCTCGGGGTCCCCCAGCCCCTCCAGCCTGGTGTTGCCTTGCTTGCAGGGCTCCGGGGGATGGGAGGATGGACCTGAGCAGTGTGCTCCCCACCCTCCCACCCCCCGCAGGCTCTGACGGAGGAGAAGACAGCGTACGACCGTAGCCCCAGCAAGAACATCTACCTGAACGTGGCTGTGAACACACTCAAGAAGCTGCGGGGCCTGGTGCCCAGCGCCTCGCCCGCGCTCAGCAGTGAGTCCCTGCGGGGCCCTGCACCCACCCACCCACCCGCCCGTCAGAGCTGGCTGGGCTGCCCGCACATTAGGCTCTGGGGAGTGGGGTGGGCATGTGGCACCCCCTGAATGCTCTCCTGAGGTGCATTAGCACAGCACTGCCCCTCTCCACGAGCACTGATCCCTATACCCCACGGCATCCCCTGCCCCAAATTCACGAGGTCCTCCCTTGCAGGAGGGGGCAGGTCATCCCGTGTTACCCTGCTGGTTTTGGGGGCAGCCATCGGGCAGCATGTGTGTGGGGGTGCTGAGGGCCCAAACTTACTCTGTCCAGAAGCCAGTGGCCGGCGGTTGGTGTCCCACGAGGTGGTGCTGGGTGGCAGGCTGGCTGCCAAGACCAGCTTCTCGCTCAGCCGTCCCAGTAGCCCCCGGGTCGGAGATCTGAAAGGTGAGTCCCTGGGCCAGCCCATCCCCCCAAACACACTGGCAGCGTGGCCCTGGGACGGGAGCCCTGACAGTGGCCCCTCGGCATCCACGTGCAGGGGCCGCGCTGTACAGCCGCCTCAAGGAGTACCTGCTGACCGAGGAGCAGCTCAAGGAGAACGGCTACCCCTTCCCCCACCCCTCCCGGCCCGGCGGGGCCGTGCTCTTCACCGCAGAGGAGAAAAAGCCCAAGGACGGTGAGGGCCTCAGGGCGCCGTCCCCCACACCTGTCCGCCCTTCCTCCTGGTCCCCCCTCCCCTCTGGGCTCCCCCTGCTGCTCTGCATCTGCCTACACCTCACACCAGGACTCAGCCTAAATCTCATCTCCCCCACCCCAGCCTCCTGCAGGATCTGCTGTCGCTGTGGGGCCGAGTATCTCGTGTCCGCCTCGGGCCGCTGTGTCCGCGCTGAGGAGTGCTGCTACCACTGGGGGCGGCTCCGGCGACACCGAGGTGAGGGCTCCCCCTCCTCCAACACCCCGTTCTCTGCTCCTCTGTCACAGCAGACAACCGTCTCTGTGAGGTGGGTGGGGGACAGGCGAGAGGAGGGTACCACGGGGGACATTCTCCTGGTCCACACACCTGCCCCTCTTATGCCCATCCGCCTGTCTCTGCCACAAGGACCTTCACCTGGGACCCTGGTCTGGCCCTGCCACCACCCCTCATCAGTTCCAGGGCTGCGAGCAGAGGGGCCTGCACTGGGGTCAGTGTCCAGTCCCAAGGCCTCTGGCTGCCCCCCCAGACCACCCCTTAGACCAGCGCTAGGGTCGCCCACCGTGATGGTCTGGCTGGTCTCCTTAGACAACTGTACCAATTGCCACCAGTGGGTGGTGACAGAACAGGAGCCAGGGGAGCCAGGGCTGTAGTGGGAGCCCCAGGACCATGCCCCTCCACGGCCCAGGGCCTGGAAGTCCAGGTCAGGCCCCCACCTTCCGGGTCGCTGTGCACAGGAAGAAGGCTTTGGATCACGCTGCCCCTGAGGGATCTCTGCAGCCAGCCAGGAGAAACCCCACCTTTCTAAGGGGATGTGCCGGCGGGCCTTGTGTAGGGCAGGGAAACCCAGCTAGTTTTTAGTGGTTGATTTTTAGAGCAAGCCGAGGCGATGGAGTCTGGCAGTGAGGTCACGTGCACACTCCTCGGTGTCCCCGAATACCCCGAGACCCCACTGCTGAGGTGGCGGGTGTGTGGTTGGTGCATTTCATAAGAACAGGGAGAAACGGCCCCTTTCCAAGCCAGGCTCTTCCCTCCCTGGCGGAGGATCGGGACTGGACAGACCTGGGGATCACGGGGGTGGGGTGCGGGGAGGGCCAGCTGGTCAGTCGGTGTGTGTGCCCGGCTTGCCCTCCCACAGTGGCCGGTGGCTGGGAGACTCAATACACATGCTGCTCGGCTGCCATTGGCTCCATCGGCTGCCAGGTTGCAAAGGTGGGTCTCCCGGGCCAGCTCCTGACCTGCTCGCTCCTCCTGCACCGCCCTTGGGCCCCGCTTGCTCCCTGCAAGGAAGCCCAGAGTTTCCCCAACTGGGGAGGGGCTGGTGACCTACCTGCCTGTTCCCAGCACCCTGAACAGACAGGCTGCTGTCAGTTCCCCAGGGAGGGGGAGAAAGGGGTGTAGCGTATGGAGACCGACACCCAGTAGGAGGCTCCCAGGAACCGGGGTGGCGGGGTGTCCTGGGGAGGTGGTTGGCGGCATGGTGTCTGCCACTTGAGGGGAAGGGCAGGGGATTTGGCCGAGCAGGGGAGGCAGTTGTGTGTGACGGTCTCCCTCAGACACTGGGGGCCTCCACTGAGAGTGTATGGAGGGTGGTGATGGGAGGCAGATGTCCCAGCTCCGCTCACGGCCCTCTGCATGCATCACCCTGCCCCCCAGCAACACGTGCAGGACGGCCGGAAGGAGAACCTGGAAGGGTTCGTGAGGACCTTTGAGAAAGAGCTTCCGGAAGACACTCACCCGGGAGTCTATGCCCTCGACTGTGAGATGGTGAGTGCCTGCAGTCTGCCGTGATGAGGGCGGGCTGTGCCAGGGCTGCTGCGGCCCCCCACCACCACCACCCCCAATTCTCTAGGTTGCAGGATAAAGAACAGGCAGATGAGCAGTGTGACCCTGAGCCTAGTCCCAGGGCCTCTCTCCCAGCACCCGCCAGCCTGCCCTCCCTTCACACACCTTTGCAGTGGGGGAGGGGCCTACATCTGAAGCAGAGCCCAGTGCCTGCCCACCCCCTCAGCTCCTGGGCAGGGCAGGGACTCCGTGGAGCCTGGCCAGCCCAAGTGCATGCGTGCATGTATGTGTGTGAGAGAGGAGAGGGCGGGCAACTGGCAGGCAGCAAGGCCCTGACCTGCAACCCCCCTCTGTGGCCGCAGTCCTACACCACGTACGGCCTGGAGCTGACTCGCGTCACTGTGGTGGACACAGACATGCAGGTGGTCTACGACACCTTCGTCAAACCAGACAATGAGATCGTGGACTACAACACCAGGTGTGTTCCGCCCACCCCCTCTCGCTGCACGCTGCCACCGCAAGGCCCCTCC